GTCACATGTCTTATTCCCCTTTACCCTGCAAGGGTACCTCATGCATATATGGCAACTTGAGAACAAGAGCCGTATTTCATCTGTTTCTGCTTCTATAGGTCCTGGGACATAGAATGTACTCAGGAAGCCCTAGCTGGGTAGCTCAGTTGATTAGAGCATTGTCCTGATAGGCCAAAATTGCGGGTTCAATCCCTGGTCAGGGCACATACAAGAGTCAACCAATGAATGCATAAATAAGTGGAACAACAAATCAATGTTTTTCCTATCAATATTTATCTCTTGCTCCCTCCCTCTTCCTCTAAAATAAAATCAATAAGCGTATTCTTGAGGATTTAGAGAAAAAGAAAATACTCAGTAAATATTGGTTGATTGAAAAAAATACATGAGCCCAGCTGGTGTGGCTCAGTGGGTGAGCATGAACCTATGAACCAAAAGGTCATTCCCCTTTAGAGCACATATATGGGCTGAGAACTCAATCCCCAGTAGGGGGTGTGCAAGAGGCAGCTATTCAATTATTCTCTCTCATCATTAATGTTTCTATCTCTCCCTCTCCCTTCCTCTGAAATAAAATTTTTTTTAATTACTATTGTATTCAATGTTTTTTTTTTAAAGGTCTATATGCAGGTTCCACTAACTTCATCTAAGCCAGTGGTTCTCAACCTTGGCTGAACATTAGAATCACCTGGGAATCTTTTTAAAATCCTGATTTCTGGGCTTCATCTTCTGGAAATTCTGTTTCTTTGTTATGGGGTGGGTCCACAACATTAGTAACAAACAGAATTTCCAGAGGATGAGGCCCAGAAATTAGGATTTTAAAAAGATTCCCAGGTGATTCTAACGTGCAGCCAAGGTTGAGAACCACTGCTCTAAGCCCTGACAATCATAAGTGTTTGCCAAGGGGTGGGATTTAGTAACTCCTCAAATCTGAGGAAGGCAATCTGCTCTCTCGTTTCACAGGCAGAACGAGGGAGCTCCCGCCGAAGCAGCAGTCCAGAGCTCCTGCAGCAGAAGTGACTGAGGTTAGACATGGGGTTGGGAGGGGGGGGCTTCATAATGAATGAGGAAGGTAATGGCTTAAAAGAAAGAGGGAGGTGTGTGGCCTCTTTCTCCATAGGACATTAATCAGGGCGCAGGGACCTAACTCAAAACTCACAGGTGATGTTCATTTGTACAGAAGCCTCTCAAAACTCACAGGTGATGCTCATTTGTACAAAATCCTCCCAGTCCTGCGGGCGAGGAGCTCCCCCCGCCCTGGCAGCACAGGCGGTGGGATTCCAGGTTGGACACTGGAGTAGATGAATGAGGGAGGTAGGGAGGGAAGGCGAGAGGGAGAAAGAAAGGGGAGGAAATAACAAGGAAGGGAAGGAGGGAAGAGGAGGGAGCAAGGCACGCACAGTGTGCACGCGTCTCCTAGGAAAGCCCCCGGCCCCGCCCACGTCTGTAGGCGATTGTGACGTCACGCTCGGAGCCACCAGATTCCTTGCCCTCAGAGTCAACAGAACCGTCCGCCCAAGCCCCGGCGACAGGGTGGATGCTGAACCATGGGCTCCAGCCAGGCCCCGCACTAATTGGGCTACTGTCCGGGCCCTGGGCTGCTGAACAGCGAAGGCTCCTGGCCCTACTAACAGGAGTGACAGCTCCCGCTCCAGCCGGACCCGGAGGTCATTCCCAGGCCCTCGGGACTCCAGTCCTCCATCATTGGTCCGCGGCTCGCCGTGAGCCCGCCCCCAGGCTCTAGCCCCGCCCCAGCCGGCCCTTAGCCCCGCCTCCTTTGTCAGGCTCACTAGGTCCTCGGGCCAGCCCTCCCCTGATCTGCTGCCCCGCCCTCGCCTTACCACTGCTGCTATCATCCCAGGTGTTGGCATTGTCCTCAGTCTCTTTCTCAGTCCACCTTTCAATGGTCATTGTCGTCCTCACCCACATCGCTCTCGGCCCAGTTCTTCCTCTCTACCAGACTCTGAACCTCAGCTGGGCCGAGCCAACCGTGAACCCCAATGTCAGCTTCGCCCCCTTGGAGCCCTCAGCTCTGCCTCATGCTGGTCCCACCCCTCCACCCACCTTTCCGGCCCCGTTCTAAGCTGCGATGTCTTCTCAGCCCAAGTCTAAGCTTCAGCCACGCTCTTCATCCGGGGCACCCCAGCACCTGCAGGGCTCTTCCCCCTTTGTTCCACTTTAACCTTAGTACCTCACCTTTAGTCTCAGGCCCAAACCTTAGCTAGGCCGCTCAGGCCCATCCTAGTTCCTCTCCAGATCTACCCCCAGCTCTTAACTCTTTCCTGCCCCCACCCAGACTTTAGCCCCGCCCCTAGCCCCGCCCCGTCCATTCTCTCGACTTACACTTCGCACGGCTCCTGGCCCCTCCCAGTCCCTTCCGAACCTCGCCGCGGCCCTTGGCCCCGCCCCCAACCTGCACGTGACCCTCTCCCCGCGGCCTGGGTAGGGACAGCTTCCCACCTCACCCCCCCATCCCGGCTCTCCTGGGGTTCCTCCTGGCCTGGCGGGAGGCCAGGATCACTCGCTCTCTCCGCCAGCAGAGTCCTCGGATGAGGACTGGATGTCCGATCCCACCCCAAGGTGGCGCCCACCGCCAGAGCTTCTTACCAGCATTCCCTTCCGGCCCCATGAGGCACCCCGACCCAGAGAAATACTGCCCAATAAAGATCTTAACAAAAGGCAGGGCCTTGGTCAGTTCCCCCCCCCCCCAAATTATCATAATAGTTAAGGGCTTTGAGCTCTTCCTATGTGTTGGTGCTTTATCTTATTTCAGTCACGCAACCTGTGTCTCCATAGGCTTGCCCAGTGCTGGGAGCAGGATCCACTGTATTCATTGTAACCTACTGCACACATCCCTCCACCATACACCCCTCCCACCCTAAGGATAGCATGCACATTGCGCATGCTTGTATCACACATATAGCACACATAACAAAATCTACTCACCACACACAGACTGATACAATATGCACACACCCCTCGCAGAGGCTACCCAGAATACAGAACCATACCCCTGCTCCCCACATTTTACTCAGCACAAACACTCCACAACAGTATTGTGGTGCAGACTACACACACACACACACACACACACACACACACAGAGTAACAAGCTCTGTGCAAGGAAAGGGTTGATAAGTGCAGTCCTATGAGGGCGCAAAGATAAACAAAAAACAATTCCAGGAGAATGTGAAAGAATGTTAGAGCCCTATAACCGGCATTCCACACATCACGCCCCTCAATTTTTCTTGGCATCAGGCTCCAAAGTGAGGTTATGCCTCAAAGGATGGAAAGGAATGGATGGTATTTAAACTTTGTTTTCTCCAGAGAAACCAAGGGCCCCTCCTGCTGCTGCTCTTCATGATGCCAACCTTCACTTTCCTCCAGACCCAGCAACATGACTGGATCGGACCACCGCCCAGAACCTCCAGTTCTAGGGACAGACGGGGATGGGGAAATCAGGGCAAAAGGGGTGTGTGCAAAAAAAGTCCCTCCCAGAACAGAGCTGGGGAAGAATGAAAGCAGGCATAGAACGGACAGAGCACTTGCTGACTGGGGGCCAGGATCTGTATTCTCATCTTGACCCTCCATGGTTTCCCAGGATGGCACCAGGCCACACGTGTCCCTCCATTGTTGGTCCAGATGTCTGAGATGCTTCCAACTGATGTATAGCTCTGGGTCAGATGTCAACAATGAGCCTGGTTCTTGGTCACTCTTCCTGTATACTTACGATAGCTGAGGTTTTTGAGCTCTTACTATGTATTTGGTAGTGTCTTATCTTATTTCACCCAAGAAACCTCATCAGTATTATTAGCCTCATTTTATAGATGAAGAAATTCAGGCACAGAGGATAAGTGATCTGCCTGAGTGCCCTAAGAGGACACAAGAGGAGGCAAGTGAGGATTCAAGTGCAGGTCATGCATGTATGTCTCTTTTGTTTTGAAGAGGGAAAAATACACATCTTATTTTTTATTCAGTTTAGTTCTTTAGTCATGTCTTAAGATGTAAAAAGGTACCACTCATAATTTTATGTTTATACCCCTAATATAGTTAGGTATTAGATAACATATCTTCTGAATAATAGCCAAGGCCCTACCTCCCTGGGCCTTATGGTCAATCCAAAAAGTATCAAAATCTCAATCACTTCTCACTGTGTTCCCCTCAGAGAAGCATTTTTTAAAGGGAAGGTGGGCCCTAGCCAGTTTGGTTCAGTGGATAGAGCGTCAGTCTGTGAACTGACAGGTCCCGGGTTTGATTCCGGCCAAAGGCACATGCCTGGGTTGCGGGCTCTATCCCCAGTAGGAGGCGTGCAGGAGGCAGCAGATCAATGATTCTTTCTCATCATTGATGTTTCTCTCTCTCCCTCTCCCTTCCTCTCTGAATCCAATAAAAAAAATATAAAAAATAATAATAAAGGGAAGGCCGGGCCCTAGCTAGTTTTGCTCAGTGGTTAGAGTGTCAGCCCTCAGATTGAGGGGTCCTGGGTTCGATTCCAGTCAAGGGCATGTACCTCAGTTGAAGGCTCCATCCTCCACCCTGGTGGGAGCGTGTGGGGGAGGCAACCAATTGATGTGTTTCTCTCACATTGATGTTTCTCGCTTTGTTTTCCCCCCTCCCACTTTATCTAAAAATCAATGGAGAAATATCCTCGGGTGAGGATTAACAAAATAAATAAAAGGGAAGCCAGGAAGAGGCAAAAGAAGAGAGAAGGAAGGAAAGAATATTATCCAGTGGTGGAAATTTGGGTATAAGCACCAAGTAGGAGGACACATTTTGGGGGAAAGGACTAAAGGAAAGGGCTCTCAAAGCCAACAATTCAGATCTCACCCAGTGAGAGTGCAGCCCTGCCCCCCCAAACATGGTCCTTGAGCTCCCAGCCTGCCTGAGGCTTGCCCAGGGGCCAGAGATGTCCAGCATCCCAGCAGGAGGCTCCAGTCCCAAGATCACCATACAGCCCTGCCCGTTCCGTTTCCCTCATCCCCAACAAAGGACTTCAACCCCCAGGCTGCTAATAACAGAGATTTTAATGCATAAGGCACAGTGTGAGGCTCGGATCATTTAGCATCCTCATACCCCAAAGGCCCAGCATGTTGAGCAAAAGCGGTAGGGACCACTTCCCCACCACTGGGCACCCTGGGGAGTCCCTGGATCGAGGGGGCATCCAGTCTTTGGTAAGGTGCCCAGGGACAGGAAGTGACTAGCATGGTCCCAACTACCCCTCTGGGGGTACTGCCACCAACCAGCAGCTCTTTGGTTTGGAATAACAGTCAGTGCAGATGTCCAGGGAGAGAGTTCCGGGCAAGTCAAAGTGGCACAGTGCCCCAGGGCTGGGCAGTCCCTCACAAGCAACATGTGGGCTTCTTCTTGTTGGCAGTTAGGTAGAGGTTGTTGTCATCACTGTTGATGCCTGAAGATAAGTGGGAAATAAGTGACGCAGGGATTGGAGCTGGAATTGTCATAGGGTGGGTGGAGCAGAGCCAGAGGGAGAGAGTTCCGGGCAAGTCAAAGTGGCACAGTGCCCCAGGGCTGGGCAGTCCCTCACAAGCAACATGTGGGCTTCTTCTTGTTGGCAGTTAGGTAGAGGTTGTTGTCATCACTGTTGATGCCTGAAGAAGAGTGGGAAATAAGTGACGCAGGGATTGGAGGCTCCCCATGCTTTCTGTGGGTGGAGCAGAGCCAGGTTTACAAAGCCGGGGTTGGGCTGGCAGTGCCTGGTCAAAGCTAAAGGAGGGGACCGCAGTGAAAGTTTGGACCTGGCTCTGCCCAGGAGTCTCCTGGGCTGTGGATCGCCCAAGGAGGAGGGTCCTTACCTAGAGTCACAGTCACAGTCACAGTGACTGTTTTACTATGGAGGCTCCCCATGCTTTCTGCCACCCTCATCCAGGTGGGAACTCACGGACAACATCCCCGATGCGCCGGGCCCCTGATTTCTCCAGCTCAGCCAGCACGTTGGCCTCGAAGGTCAGTGCCGCCACACGGAAAAAGAATTCCCGGACATTCTCACCTGACACAAGGAACAGGTGGGTGCTCAGGGGCAGTTCCAGCCTGGGTTCCCTGGGCACAGCTGGAGTTGTAGGAGCGAGAGGCAAGGTAGGCAGGAATGCCACGCAGAAGGCCTGACGCCCCTTACTCACCAGTGAGAGACGAGACTGCCCAGTACTCCGCCTTCATCTCTTGGGCCACCTTGAGTGCGTCTCGCTCCATTAGCACATACTGAGCAGGAGTCTGAGGGAAAGTCAGAGTCAGATGCGGAGGGTTCCCTCACCAAGTTGGGAAGGTCCCCCACGGGCACACTCACACTCAGGTCCTTCTTGGAACCCACAAGGAAGAGAAGCACGCTGGAAGGGTCGTTCTCCTTGAGTGCATCAGCTAGCCACTGCCTGCCACAGATGGTGGACAGCAAGAGATGAGGTGGGCAGGCTCCTGCCACTGACACTCATATGCTCAATTATCCTCTGCTCCTCGATGTGTTCCTTCCTTCCCTACCATGCCCCTGACCACCCCTCTTTTCTTCTCTCGGAACCCTCTCTTCCCAGAGCCCCACATATGTCAGCACCCCCACATACTTGGTATGTTCCAGGGTAGCCACATCATTCAGGTTGAAGACAATGATGATGGCTGCGAGAGTGGCAGAAACAGTCCCAGGTTGGTAAGGAGACGCTACTGGCTCATTTCCACAGCCCTCGGTTAGAAGCAGCCTCCTCCCCCACTTCACCCAGCCCCTTACCTTGAGCTCCTCGGTAGTAGGTTGATGCAATGCATTTGAATCTCTCCTGTCCAGCGGTATCCCAGCTAGGAGGGAGGAGGGGTGACACAGAGGTATGGGGACAGGGGCGTAGGAGGGGTGTAAGCGCCAGAGGAAGAAACGGCTGGAAGAGGTAGAGAGGAAGAAGCACTCACAGCTGCAGACTGAAGGGGATGCCCAACACCTCAAATCGTTCCATCTCAAAGTCCACTCCAATGGTGGCCTTGTAGTTCTTATCGAAGGTGTCTTTGCAGAACCTGAGGGGGCACCAGAGGCTCTGGCCCTTAGCCCAGCCCCTCTGGCTAGGCCTGGCCCTACCCTGCCCAGCCCAACCCCGTTCAGCTCCAGCACCCTCTTACCTATTAATGAGACAAGTCTTCCCCACCGACAGGTCCCCCACCACAATGACCTTGGAGATCTTAAATCTGCTGGACACAAGAGGAGGCAAGAGGAGTGGGCACTAGTTCTTTCACTCTAGGGAGTCCCAATGCAACCTAAGAGGTCTACAAAGGTAGTCGCACCCAGACTGCAGTTGCCAGTAGACACCAGGCCTCCTAGGCAGCTTTCTGGACAGAGGTACCCGCTAGGAGTGTTTTGTGCTTTAGTATCAAAAAGACATAAATTTGAATCCCAGCTCTCACACTTACTAGCTGTGTGACTTAGGACAAATTACTTGGTCTCTCTCTGTCTCAGTTTCAACATTTAAGTGGAGATTCAGAATATATTTTTTTTGGGTAGTGAACACATGGTGCAATACACAGATCTTGTAACATTGAAACCCACACCTAAAACCTATATGTCCCTGTTGACTCATATCACCCCAATAACTTTAATAAAATAAAAAAAGAATATCTTTTATTGGGTTGTTGTGAAGGTTAAAATGAGATAAATGTTCTATATTCTGAAACATACCCCCCCCACACACACACCACACATATAGATTTTAATACCTCTGAAATCAGGGTACATCTTTAAAAGTGATGGTGTTTAAGGGGGGGGAAAAGAAGGAGACATATGTAATATGAGATAAATGTTCTATATTCTGAAACATACCCCCCCCCCCACACACACACATATAAATTTTAATACCTCTGAAATCAGGGTCCATCTTTAAAAGTGATGGTGTTTAAGGGGGGGGGAAAGAAGGAGACATATGTAATATTCTTTGTAATACTTTAAGCAATAAAAAAAAAAGTGATGGTGTTTTCCATTTAATAAAAGTAACTTAAAAAAAAAAGATGCGTGACTGAAAGAAGATGAAGTACCCAACACACTTCCTGGCACACAGTAGCTGCTACATTCATAGTGGCAACTGTTATTAGTATTCCCTTAGGTATAGGCACAGCCCCCCCCCCCCCCCCCGACCCTGGGGCTCAAAGGGGTGGTATGTGGAAGTTGAGCCGAGGACCACCCCCGTCTCTGTGTCAGGAATTGAACTGCCACCTTTCTGGCCACCCCAGTCTCATGGGAAGCACCACAACCTCGCTGGAAACGAAGGGGTAGATGCGAGGACATCAAAAGAGGGAATAACCATCTAGCTGGTAGAGGGTGCCATGGAGCCCCCTTGCTTTGACTACAAAGTTTCCTGGGACTTCCTGTCTTTAAGTTGGGGTCTCCAACTCACCCCACGGTGCCGGTCCGGTGCTCCTGGCAGGCGCAGGTGACCCGGGGGTGGAAGTCTCTGCGCACGTGCAAGGCGGCCTCCTTCCTCAGGTACTGCCAGGGGTGGAGCAGGAGACTCACCCATCCTGGCCCTCGTCCCACAGCCAAGCAGCCCGGGGCTGGGGGTGGGGAGGGGACCACCCAGAAGCAGCAGCCG